AACCAGGTGGGGAGGTCCGTTGTCGGCGGCAAGAGCCGTTTAGTTTCTGGCGGTAGGACTGCCGCTGGTGTGATGTAATAGCCAGGATATGAGGCGCGGATGGTTCGGATTCGAAAATAGCAGTTGCTAAAATCAAATAGCGAGTAGACCCGCCATGCATTTAACTTATTGGACCACAGAGACCAAAATAGCAAAATTAAACGTAACACGTGATTGAGTTGGAACCACAGAATTGTTTTTTTCAAAATCTGAAGAACCTCAGAAAGAAAGCAAACAAAAAAATTATAATGACGTGTAATAATTTTTTGTTCTAAAAGTACAAATATTTTTTAAATTTAGTCAATTTTGTAATCCTTTTTGGTAAAATGGATGTATGATTTTTCTTTTTGAACAGCGTGACCAAAGTCCCTCTATTTCTCTTGCTGTGACCAAAGCGCCGGAACCGAGGACCAACTCTCCTCCGCTGTCATTGGTTTCAAAGGTGTTAGCTACGTATATTTCACGTTAAATCTTGACTCAGATAAAATTATTAAATCAATTTCAAATATTAATTTTGACCCAAGGTATTAAATATTTACAATGTTGAGGTTTTTACACTCGTAGAGCTGGAGCCAGATTACCTTCAACTCCCTGATGGGACAAGGGCAAAATTGTATTTGCACAACAAAATATGTCCAACCATTAGTAACTTTTTATACGCGTATTTCTTTTACAAGGCATATGATATAATACAATTATTGATAAAAGGGAAATAGGTCCAGAAGTGTATTGTAATTTTAAAATGGGAATTCTCATTTTTTTTTAAATTGGAATTGCTATAAATATGGTAATTTAGATTTCAACGATAAGGTGATGAATTCTTGATTTCATTCCACACCACCTAATTATTTAATTACAAAACATTACTCTCTACCTTTTTAATAAATTATAAACATATATTAAAAATCATAAGTATTGTAATACTCTAATTATATATATACATATTATATATATTAAGAAACTGTAAAAAATTAGAGGCAGAGAAAATAAAAGATTGAGCGTAGAAACTAGACAACGGGGCAAACAAATAGAGGGCAAGGTTGATGGGTTTTTTAGGTTGATGAATGAGTTAGAAGAGAGATAAATGGAGTAGAGAGTATTTGTAGCGGATAGTGTCGTGTTTATCTTTCGATCAACATCACTTTCGTCATTTGTCATCAGTGTGAAAATTAATAGTTGCTTCAACTAAGAAAGCAGCACGTAGATAGATTAGAATACTATTTAACTGAATGATGAGCCTCACCAAGTAGGACAAAATTGCATTCAGAGGAGTAATTATTGTAAATGAGTTATATTTGAATCGAAATTAATCAAATTTAAATTTGATTAACTTTTTAAATACTCGAGTCTAATTTAAAATTTTATAAGATTTATATTTATTAAATTATATATGAATTCGATAGATAATTTAAAATTTTAAAAAAAATTCAATCAAACAATAAAATAATATTTTTTTATACTTAAATCATTTAATTATATTCTGTCAATTATATTTATTTTTGAATTTTCTAATTTTTTTTAATTTAATACATATAACCTTAAATTTGTTAATATTATATATTAATATATTTAAAATTATTAATTTAATAAAAATATTATTAAAAATTCATATTCAAATATTTAATAGATTGAATTAATTAATTTTAATGTATAATTTAATTATTTCAACTTATAAATACTTATAATCAGATTTGATTTATTATTATATTTTAATTAAATTTAAATATTAAAATTTAAATCAAAACTAACACATTACTAGGCTTAACTCTGCCCATTAATAACTTCGTAAACACGCCCTTTGAATTTTGATTTTTGTGGTGGAACGGAGCCGGACTTTTTAGGCCCAAGTTGCTTAGCCTCCAATTTCCAAATGTGGGCCTGGGCCAAGCTTCTATCAAACTTTTCCAAGTCAAGCAATTTTCTTTCAGTTTTTTTTTTTTTTCTTTTCTTACTACTACTACTACTACTAACAACAACTAATATTTATTTCGCCATATAAAGCGAGATTGGAGAAATATTAGTTATAGATCTGTCAGTACACCAAACTCATAGAAGCACACCGCATTATGCGGTTGTACTACTACTACTAACAACAACATGATATTTATTTCGCCATATAAAACGAGATTGGAGAAATATTAGTTATAGATCTGTCAGTACACCAAACTCATAGAAGCACACCGCATTCTGCGGTTGTACTCCGAAATTTTAGCAATTAATTTCCACGTCATATAAATTCATAATCATGGGTGACTTAATATTTTATTAATTCGTTATTAGCAACGCTTTGACGTTTATATTTCTATTTTAATCCTTATTGAGTAGCAGTGGGGGTGGGGGTTGACTTGGTCTTGGTCTTGTGATCTTATCCATGCAATTGCTTTGTTTAATTGCATCTCATTCTATTTGCCAGGAACTTCCCTAACTATTACCGGTACTGCGAAGAGGCCAAGTCCAGCAGCTTAGATCAGACTTGAGAGAGTTATGGACATCGAAAGCTTTCTCCCGACTCCGAGAGCAAAGTCAACTCTCGAAGGCCTCTCATCTTCTTCTTCCTCCTTCCCCGATCTCCTTCTCGCGCTCCTCAACGGAGCTCTTCTAGTCCACCAATTCCACCGCCTCCCATCCTACTGTTCACTGCTCGAATACAACCCTACCAAGTCTATCCGAACTGTCTGTTCCGTCACGCCGCACCCTCGCTCCTGCTCCGCAGCCGTATACTCCTCGATCACCGCCACCGCCACCGCTGACGTCGCTCACGACCCCTTCTATGACATTTTCGGGGCAGAAGCCCCGAAATTGTCTTCGTCCACTCTCTTCTAGTCGCACTCAACGGACTCAAGAACCTCTCCTCTCTTTCTCAGAACCTAATTTCCAATTCCAACAACGTTCAAGCGGAACCGGCGTTACTTGGTTGTGCGAGCGCGTTGGATGACGCGCTGAGTCGACTCAATGGTTCCGACTCGGTCGTGTACTTTGACCTGGGGTTAGCGAGTTTGAAGGAGAGCAGTATCGGCGACTTAAAAAGAGTGGATCGGCGCCGCTTTGCGAGATCAGCAGAGGTGTTTGGAGGAGCTGCCGGAGGCAGGATCGGCGGTTGCGGATGTCTTGAGGCTTAAGGTGCAGGAATCGAAGGTGTACACCAGCAATAGCCTAGCAATCCTCTCTAATATCCGTGAGCTTAAAGCAAATCTTGATGCCTGCGGTTTGAATTTTGAATATAAGTTGTCTTTTTGTATATTTTGTTTGGAATATCTCGTCGTAATTTGGCTATTTTGTTTGCTAATGCGGATAAAGGACAATCCGACAAGGTGAATTGTCCGGATTCCGGAATGGGTTTTTCTTGCTGTCCAAACCCCTCCGCTCCCTGTTCTTGTTTTTGTTTATTTTTCTTATTTTCGGGGTGAATGAGAACTGCCCTTTATGTAATTTTCGTTTTTGTTTTTTTGTTTTTTATAATTTAATACCGAAAAGATTATAATTATTATATTTTTTTTAGTTAAAAGAGATCAATTTTCCTTCCTTCCCCTCGTGCAAGAAGCAAAAAGGTTGAGCCAATTATTTTTAAGGGCATATGACGCTCTATAATTCTTAAAAATTTGAGTTTAAATTTATTAAATTTTTAAAAATACGGCATTCTCAAAACTCTAAGTCATTTTTTATTAAATTTTAAATCAAAAATTTAAGATTTAATACTGAGTTTTTCTTTTTAATTTTTATACAACAATTTCACTCAAAAATGAAGGCAAAATTTTTGGGTAAAATCATTATTAAGAATACGTTTTTTTGCATTACTAGTTGAAATTTAAAAATCAATATTATAAGTTTATTTTACTAAATAAATATAAAAACTTGATCTAATTCAACTCAAGTAATGTTGATTTTGATAATTAAAACATATTCTGAAATTAATTTATTTTAAATGAGTCACTACGAATTTCAAGATCTATTTTCTTCCTACAATCATTTGTTTCGTAAAAATAAAATTACAATGAACCAAATTTTCTAAATTACAAATTATAATACTTTTAATGTACTACTGAGAAACTAGAAAATTTGGAAAAAAAGAGAGATTTTTCTCCCAACCTTTTCATCTCATACCAATGTAAATATATAGATATATAAATATATATATAACAAAATATGAGATTTGTTATGTAAATCTGTAACTCTACTTTTGAATTCAAAATTTAATATGGGTTGAGTTGACTCGTTATAAGTGTAACTTTACTTTTGAATTCAAAATTTAATGTGAGTCGAGTTAACTTGTCACAAGCAGGACTACCCCAACGCATTTCTAACAAGTAAAATAACAAGACTATACTAATAAATATATACCTAAGAATTCAAATATATAATCTCCAATAACGGCTTGTTTTAGAAAGAATTTTAATTGGAGGACTACATCCTCAAAATACAATAGTTAAGCCCCTCCAATGTAAATATGTTCTTTCCATCTGGTTATGACGTGCTTGCATTTTAAGTTTGGAGATTTTCTACCTTAAAATTCTTGATGTCAACATGTTGATGGATGAAAAGTTCAAAAAAATTGTTAAATCTTCACCAAAGGCATTAATCAAATTGAGGAAAAGACAGTGAAAAACTAATTTTCTTTTCTTTCAATTTCCCCTTGAGGAAGACATTCGAAAACTTGAAATATTGATTTGTTCTTAGTACAGGGATTCTTGTAACTACTGCTCATTAAAGAAAAGACCACTTTCTCCTGGCTGTGTGTTCGGTGTTAACCTTAAATATTCCTCTCTCTCCACAAATAGTCTAATTCTGTTATATTATTGAGGCAGTGTTCAGGTCAGCTACATTTTTCAGGTTCTTTTCGGACCAACCCCATCTCAATGATTAGTTTCAATACCCACCAAAGGACAAAACACTCCAGAAATTAATATATCATATTTGAGTAGATCAAGATACAACTCTTACAGAGAGAGAGAGAGAGAGAGAGATTATTGCCGTAGGAGACTTCTGACAAAGTCAGCAACATCGACGTCGCCGGTGGCGTCCGTGGAGGCCAATAGCTGGGAAATCCGCTCGCTCAGATTATCAACTTCTCTGTGCAGCCTCTTGATGTAGCCGCATGTTTCTTCGAGAATCTTCCATGGCGGCATTTGTTCCTTAATCCAGATAATGGGTTCAGTCAGCATTGCCAAATAACTCATTTCCTTTTTAACAAGAAAATTAAGCAGCAAAACTTCTATTTTTTGCCGTTCTTTTTCCTTTTTCTGCATATAATTTGTGAGTAGAAACTTTACGTATGTGTTTTATAATTGATGTTCTCAAATTTTCTTTTTTATTTTTGTCTGAGATTTCAGGACAGAACAGAGATAATGTCATATCGATAAATCACTTCCTCTGGCCTTTCAAGTGATATGACATCATGGGATTGGTATCTCTGTCCCTTTGCAGTGGTCCTCAAACATTTTACAGACATTTCTGATAATGTTGCCATAAAAAAGATCTAAGAGATGATGTAGCATACCCTTCTGGTGCACCTTGAACTTGAATGTGGGAGTAATGCTTGTAGTTTAGAGACCAGTTCATTGATCTCATCTTCACCGAGGTTGGAAGCTCTTGCTCTTCGGCTAGACATGGCGGCTTCCTTCCCTCTCTTCCAGTCCTATTCTTGTCCAAGGCGAGCTGTGGCGGTTGAAGAGAAACCAAAGGTCAGCTTAAAAAAGAGCGCGAAGATGAGGTTTAGACACAAGTCATTAGCTAGAAAAGGACAACAGAGGTTGGTATTAGCAGCCAAATTAAAATTAATCAAATACCAATTAGAAAACAAGATTTAATCAGGGCCCCATCTTTGTCCCCGCACTGTCACTGCAAGGAGAAACAAGATTTGGTCCCGTGGTGGTTTAAGTACTCCGAAAAAGGGCAATTCTGCTCTTCAGTTTCCTAGTTTAGTCTATCCTACTTGGTGATAATTTCTGCTAATCAGACACGTATCTCGGCGCAGATTATGTTTTATGGTGTGCTTGTCATTGATATTTACAGGCTACCCATAAGATACCCTGTCTCTAATTTGCTTGTTGGGGGGTTGGGGCTTTGGCCCTTGTCTTGGCCACTGCCCTGTTTTGTTCAGGAAACACACCCTCATTACTTGTGTGTGTATGTGTGTGTGTGTGTGTATATATATATATATATTATTTTTCTTTTAAATTTTGAAATTCTTATTCATTTATAGTCTAAGACTAATTTTATTAAGTGTTACTATAATTATTCTTTTCTAAATATGTTGTTTTTACAGATTCAAATCAATTTTTCTTTGTAAATATTAGAATGATTTTCACTTATATTACACACATTAAGTTCATTAATTTTGCGTTTAATAAGAAATAGCAAACCTTTCCTCCCCCACCCCCTCCCCCCCCCCCCCAAAAAAAAAAGAAGAGAAGCTTGTCCATTTAGATTTAGTTTTGATGATTTTTTCTATTTTTGAAAGCAAAAAAACGATCTGTTTAGAAAATTGTTTAAGAATTGCTCCTTTTTAGAAAATAATAAATAGTTTTAAGAATTCTTAGAAATCATAAAAGTATTTGGTATTTTTTGTTTTTGAAAACACATAAAATAGAAAAGAAAATTAGAAATATAGACAGAAGATTAGCAAGATTATTTGGTTAAAAATTATAATTTTAGGTAACTAGGAAAACCATGATTTTTACAACGTGACTGGCACTGATTCTGTCGTGATAAAATTGCTAACGAATTGTGAGCATTGAAAGATTGATGGTAGACGTTATTCATGTGTCTAGTTGGGGCCAAGCATGAAAAGGACCAGTTGACACTCAAGACATATCAATGGCAAAAACTGTACTTGGCTGTCATGATTGAAAATTTTGTACAAGACGAAGTTAAAAGAAGACAGTGCTCTGTAAGAAGTATGAATAAAACCTTGAGAAAATTATGGTCCGTCAATGATCAACTTTCATTTCAGCTGCTGAAAGTTACACTCTAACTTCCGCCATTATCAACGGTGGTCATAATTTATGGAGGAGGAGCAAGGTCAGTGAAAAGTGAAAAAGCCCCTGTAAGATACAGCTAAAGATGACAGATTTCGTGGTTAGAGAAAGCTTCCAAGCGGTACCTAATTCAGAGGCTTACAATGCAATCAAGCAAACGAAACTTTTGCTTTCTGGTCCTCCAACAAAAGTTTTGAAAATTAAAATGCAGTAAATAAGAAGAAGAGTTCAACTACTGTTGCTTCTGATACGGGGATCAATTGACATGACCAGACAAGCACTAGAAAATGAATGACTGAACTACTCGGAAATGCGCATGAATGAGCCACCTGAGATTAGGAACCTCGAAGAAGCGCAACAGCAACACACACCCACACCCACACCCACATCCACACACACACACACACAGCAAATTATTGTCTACTTGGCCTTATTTACCAACCTCTCAAGTCCAGCGGGTGACGATGAGTCATGCTGCTGGGCATGTGATGTGGACATCCCTTTCAAGGGCTTGTCCATGTCAATTGGCCTCCAAGTACCCCAGAGGAAAACAAGAGAAATCAAATTCAGGGTTCGAAACACTTTGGGACTACTCCACAGTGAGACAGAAATGTTGCCTTGGGGGCATGAGAATAAGACATGTAGCTATACTGCAGCTTGGTAGGATTGAATAGTAGAAGTTCATTAGGTAAGTGACCAGAGACTAAGATTTTAGTTTCCCAATTTCACAAGCTTGATTAATTGTAGCACAAGTATATCTTCTTGAAGGAGCATAAAACTACTTGCTTAGTTAATAAAGCAGGAATGATCCGCAGATTACCCACAATTATTAAAAAAAGTTTCTGCTTTAACAACTGTCTTGTGGAACTTCCGTAGTTTTAAAACAAAAAACAGTGACCTGCCCCTCAAAATCTGAGATGAGATTGTAAACAAATAACTTTGGAACTTCCGCACTTTAATTACTAACGTTTTTGTGTGTCGGCTCTAGACAGACATTTTTCTTTCTAGAAAAATAAATTTAATGATCTAAAGACATCTCAAGATGTTTTCATATTAAGTTCCTTAAAAGCTAAAATAAAAATCCAACATAATTAACTGAAAATTAGAGAGGTTGAACTGTTATACGTCAGGTTATGAACTCATAACACCATTTGAATTCACTGCCTTAATGATGATTAATTTGAAGAAGACAATATATGCACAAATTAAGTATGATCACACGGCATGAGTTTCTGGTAATATGTATGTGTGCATATGTAGATATATACGTATACATACATATATATATATATATATATTTTTTGCAGTACTCTTAAGTAAAATGTATCAACCAAACTTTATTATTATCAATATTATTATTAATTTGCTGTATCAGAAAGTAACACAGGGAGCAAGAAGAACTTTACAAGAAAGTCCGCTTACTGGGGCTCAAATCTCAAGACTATGCCACCTAGTTAGTCCCATAATTATTTTCTGTTTGCACATTAAATAAGAGAGAAAAGAAACGATAACAGAGCTTTCGAAAGAAGATAAAACACAATAATTTAATCGAGACTAGTACCCCACAACTGTAGTTTCTATTGATTTTCATAAAAGGCCCAAGGTAAACTCAGGGATACGAGGCAGAAAGCTTGGTTTCAAGGCCTATAGATGGATGCCAGTACTGTAAGATCACATGTATTCTTGGAAGGCAGCATAATCTCAATTTCTTTCGGAAGATTACAACAGACGACTCCCTGACATGCCATAGGGGGCATGGCAATGTCAGGGTTTGAATGATTTCTCATTGAAACAGTAGAATGCAGAAGTAACTGTACAGTGCCCATGGGGCATCTTGCCAAAACGAGCACTTAATCATTGATATCTTTTTCCACAAGAAGATCTTTAACAAAGCCAGAAATCCATGCTCAGTTCAGGAACAATTTTATCAGCAATAACCCCCACAAATACCTAAACCCGTCAAAAAAATCTTCTGACCACTTAAAAAAAGACCAAAACTAGTGGGAAGGAATACCACTCGTGCAGGTTTCAGCCATATTTTATCTAGTTATAAACACAAGATATAAACAGTCCATAAGCGTATCAAAAATCTTGAGGTAGACATGGTAGTGGGCGCCAGGAAAAAAAAGAAAAAAAAGAAAAAAAGAAAAAGAGAGGAAAACTTCAGGTTCTCGCCAGAACTAGAAATGCCACTACCCTCGACATAAATGACCAAAGTAATTTGAGAAAATAAAGACCAGATCACTCATTCCAATGCTCATCTGACCAGATTCAACTTCAATTGAAGTACAACAAAGGCTCAGGAAAATAAATAAATACATATATACTTGAGATGTGTACAAAGCATGACGAACTAAATTTCCTTCAACTATTTTTACCATCACTAGGATTGATTGGTCAATATGGAATTTTTCACGGGCCCCATGAACAACTAAACAAAGGAAAATTTGAGTAAAAAGGAAGCAGTTTTGGTGTCTGCTGACTCTCTTCAACATATCCTGGTTAATATGGTCTGAGTGGCCAAGTAATTTCAAAGGCAGCATAATTGGCATATCTCTATGAAACAGCTTCTGAAATAGAGGTTGTGTTTGCCTTTTAAGTAAATGCCAAGGTCTGCCAATGTAAGAGTCTGCCAATTTGAAATCCAGGCCAGTGCACAGCCCCATTCCAATAGGAACATACCTGTTAAACTGGAATATCTAGTTTTTCCCAAGTTTGTTTTGCTGTTCTGGAGAGTATACAAAATAAAACACTTCCTGAAAAATTTTTACTTGGTATATGTCCTATTCTTAAAATCTTATCCGCTTCATTAACACTCAAATGTCTAATACCGCACTCCTTCAACCATCTTTCTCCACCCGACAAACTATCTTTAAGTTGCTTTCCCCCCATTTTCAGTAACTTGTGACCCTCACTAACTTAGGGAAGAAGCCTTCAGGCCTCAAACACCAAGCCCTGAATACCCAAAAATGCAGCCAAATCATTACCAAATCTCTCAACACCACCATCATTAAATTTCACATTACTTATCAGAATACCATTGAAAAGCAAACGATCCAGCCTCTTGCCAAAGCTCTCCATACCCTAACAAAATCCATGCGATTCAAACTCTCTTCCAAAACAGACATTTTCCCTTGTAGATAGTCTAGTGCCATTATAAAATATTTGGATACTGTCCAACCTTCTTCAACCTTTTCCTGCCATTGCTCTTGTTCTTCATATAGTCTCGACAGTGACCATCAACACCTCTCAAAACAACAGTTGATAGCTTGCCAACCCATTCTGTTCTGAACTCTTCTAGTTTTCCAATTTTTTCATCAAATATACTAGCCCCAGCTCCTTCCTCAGGGCCCTCAATAGAATTGCTATTGTTGACTGCTGGGTCCAACTGATCACTTTCGTTCAGTCCCATTTCAAAAAGAAGACATCTTCACACCATTCTTTCAAAAACAGATTCAAAATAGCAAGCAGCATTGATGGATTTTGAGACTTTGATCAATGAATCATCATCAGTTAGGGCTGTTAGTCCCTCAGCTTCTTGGCATTTCAAAAGTATGCAATCTAAAAATTTTTGGACAAGAGTTACACCCACCAGGCGTATAAATTTTGACCGTAAATACACAGTGGCAGTGATCGAGAACGATCAACCACAGACGATATACATCGAATAAAAAAACTTGAAATTGCGGGAGATTTGAAATCTTCTGGACCTGAGAGAACTCCCTGATTTTTTGTTGACCAGCTTCTGTCATCCTCCATATCAAGTTTAAATTTGTCTAATATATCAGTAATCTCTATCTCTGCCCACAAATCAAGCCAGTCAGGCCGATCACAAAACACAGACAGAGAAGAAATCTTCCGCAGGTTTCCATATTCTTGAAACGAGGTCAAAATTCCTGTCTGCCCCACCAGAGACTGTACTCGTTTATCAAAGCTAATCATCAAGTCAACAAGATGGAGCCAGGATATTCTGCCTGCGATCGAGTACCAGTGACATGCTCTTCGTCTAGTTGCCCAACATAAATAGGAAATATCTCCTTGCCAAGTATGTTGACAACGAAGATACCATTGCAGAAATCCATTCTTCTCTGCAGCTGTATCCTGATAGCATTGCCTGATCAACCAATGGTTGCAATAACTCATCCATGGAGTCCACATAATCCCGAGTAATCTTATATACAAGAGCAAAAATGAATTCTGGCTTATCAATCCACTTTGAGAAATACCGTTGGCAAACAATTGATACTGGATTCACCAGCTCCTCAACTGCCCAAAGTGGCTGGGTCAGCGCAACTTCCCTGTTATGCCCTTCAAGTTGCCGAGATTTTCTCTGTCTCTGCAATTCCTGCAGCCTGCATAAAGCAATAAAACTTTCACAATACTGGTGCTTGAGATCGCCTTGCATTGTGAAAAGAGGGTTTTGAACTTCAGATGGTTTCCTTGCATCTGAATCTGAGGAAACCCAAAGTGGCCAAAGGTGGTGGCCATCCAAGAGAACTAAGAAGGGCTCTGTGATCAGCAATTGCCTGGGGTCGTAGAATGGCTAGTGCCCGGTCTACCCTGTGATCAACAGCTGAAATAAGACGTGCCCACTGAGGACGTGACTTAGTAACTGAGGCCAGACATCTTCAGTTATTTTCAGTGCTCTAATTGCAACCAGACGTGTGTCCTGCAGAAACAAAGAAATTATGAAAGCCAAAAAAGGTAAATAGTTTATTCCAATCAAACTACTAGTTACTTACTTCTGAATTCTGTGCTGAAGGATGCTTCCTTAGATTTCTGTTTACTGCAGAAGATACTGCATCTTCAATATCACCAACCAAATTGTCGAGCTTTAATGCTGTCTCTGAAGGAGACAAGCACAGATTTTAAGGGAGAAAAATTTCCCATTAGAATCAGAAACAAAAAATTCAACACATAACATTAACCAAGAAATGAAAAAGGCACCAGGGAACACACATACAAGACATGCAATGAATGATTATCCAGAAAGTCAACACCTTGAAAATCAAATAAGAGTAAAGGCAAAGAAAAACCAAATACTTTCCAATCAGAAAGATTTTAGTGCTAGTTTAGGGCTAGCCAGACGGTCTTAAATTAGCAGAAGTCTTTTGAAAATGAAGATTACTGAGACCAAAAAGGCACAACTGCAGACTTGGAAAATGGATTGACTTGCACAAGTGTGGCAACCTGGATATTTTCAAATTCCAATAGATTGAGGCTCAGAGTAGGCAGTAGCATAGCAATTGTAGATTTATATGTGTAGTTATGGAAACAAAAGAATATAAAAATAAGCAGGGTAAAGCTAATAAATTCAAATTGCACTTCTATTATATTAGATTACAATGTAAATGATTACCGTGACACAATCAGGGTGAAGCTGATAAACCAACCCATACCCCAATAGCTGCCCATACCCCAATAGCTGCCATTACCAAAATGTGGAATAAATAACACGTACCTATGATTCACAATTTAGTTGTAACCCTTTATGTTAAAAATGTGACAAAAACTGAGGGAACGTTGAAAAACCAAAACCTTTTATACTTAGCTGCCGAGCCAAAATGGGAAAGAAAGCTGTCTCCATGATTATGGACAACCATATGAAAACAATGCACAGTAGTCATTATGCCACCTCGATGACTTTAGTTACCCTCCTCTCATGCCTAAGTGATTTGCCATGCCTTCCTCTAATACTGGAAAGTGCTTTGGTTTTAGTCAATGAAATTTTAAAACTTTCATTCGTTGTCTTGTTTCTTATTCAATATATTCCATAACTTAACCTCAACAAGTCATATTAAACGACCTAAAAGTTTTCGACCTACAACAACAATTACATTACATTCACCTCCATTTTGAATTCCAATATGCCAGTTGCTTGTGGAAGTATCCACTTCTCAATGTAGTTCAATAAAACGGAATTTTCTATGCAGTCGAAAGAATGAACACTTTCTATAAACCACATTGCAATATTTTTAACAGCTCAGAGCAAAAGTCCCAAAACTTGCCTGCGTAAGTCCGAACGGTCTCAACCCTCGCCACTTCCTTAGCAAGCGACGCTAGCTCCTCCCCCAATATCTGCTCTGATCTTCCCAGTCCTTCAGTTGACCTTCCATCTAAAAATTACAAAAAATTATGCTGACTGAAATTACAGCACGTAGATAAATTACACCTCTGTATATATTTTCACCTGAAAGAGAATCTGAAATGCGAGTAGATGAACGGATATGGTTCAATTGGTGGTGATATCTCCAAAGCAACCACTGATCCTATCAGAATAAGAAGCGTAACGCGACCAGGCTTGCTCCAAGACGCTGGCTGAGATCTGTTAGGTTCTGGTCCAAGTCGTTGCACCGAGTTTGAAGCTGCGATACGAGATTGGAAGCTCGACCAAGTCCATCTACCGAATCGAGTTTGCCGTCGAGGAAGGTGAGGACTGCGGGAGAGAGGGATGCGATTGAGGGCAAAGTTTCCTTGGTGATCATGTTTCAAAGTCAACCGAATTCGACAGTGGAAAGCGAAAACTAATAATTTAAGATTTGCTCCTCCACCATCAATATTCCAAGATGAAATCAGAAACCAGAGATCCCCCGAACCTCAAACCATCGATCACTCAATAGCTTAATCTACAGTCCCCGTGCACTGAACACTGGACAGAGTCCATAACGCCTTGGTGCTGGTCATGGAATTATTCGAAAGAGGAACCGTGGGGGAGGCAGAGCTTTTGGGCCGAAAGGAGTTGGGTTCAAAATTTGTGGCCCTCAACGCTATAGCCTAATATGGCTTTATAAAAAGGCCCATATTTCCTGGTTGGAATTGGGAATTGTAGTTGGGCCAAAGTCGCCCAGTTCCAGCCCACCCCATTAGTTTTTTTCATATCGGTGTTGACTGAAAATAAATTTTCTTTGACCTCAAAATTTAACTAAAATTGTATAACGTTTTTGAGATTCATTAAAATCATGGATTTGACTCCCTCCTTTCATGACTAGGCGTCTGACATTTTAGATAAGTTTGGAATTTTTAAAGTTAAAGAGAAAGGGAAATAAATTAAAAAATAAATATTTGATTAATTACTGAAGGAAAAATGATTTTTTAAATTTTATATTCCAAGTCCTTTACCCAGTAAAAGAAATAATATAAAAATTATAACTTTTTCAACAAAAATTTTATTTAAAATATATAATATCTATTCCTTGTTGAATAGAAAATAATTAAAAAAATATGATTTCTAGTTCATTTTTATTTTAAAAATTTTAATTTGCCTGAAAAAATCTGAAACCAAATAAAACATTGAATACATACAACGGTCCAAAAGTTATTCTTAATGAAATTGCTAATTTATAAAGAAGATTTTTTTCTTTAAAAAAAAAAAGAGAGAACCTTATTCGGCAAAGGAAACTTACTGAAACTTCTCCAAATTTGTATATTATAAATTTTTTCTCTCACAATCTTCAACATAATCACATGATATGAAAATAAAGATAAGAAAAAACAATTTGAAAAGAAAATTAAGCCACGATTGCCTGGGAATATTCTCTTACTTCTGAATGTTTCAGTCGATGAGTCATTCCAGAAGTCCAGTATAGAAATTTCTGAGGATGAGATTGGGGAGAGCCAATCCCCTCTAGTGTCAGGCATAAAATCATCAATTTGCCTTGTTTGAAACGACTACAGCAACTTGCATTACATATAATCACGGCTACTTAATTTAAAATGCCCACTTTTAGGGAGTTGTAATCTCTTTTTTCTATGCTTTAATTCTAAATTAACCAAGTTTAAGTATAGTTAATGTTGACCCGGCACGTAGGTTCTCGGGTTCGGAGGAGGATTCACCAATAAGAAAATTAAAAAATAAAATTAGAGTTATAAGATTTTAAAAATTATATTATTACCCACACGTAGACACGATTGCGCTACTTTTTAAAATGAGATTTTTTGACTATTTATATTATAAATTCTCAATATATTGGTTATGGGATGGTTATTTTTTGTATAAAAAATGTTTTTTTGTTAAAAAAACATTTTGTGTAAGTTTATTTAAAAAAAAAGAAATAGAAAAAACAGTTTTCTGTTTTTCTTAATTAGAAATTGCTAAAAATAGTTTCTGAAATTTACTTCTGGGTAGAAGGGAGAGAAAAATATTTTTGAATAAAATATCCTCCACATAATTTTAAAAGGACAATTTTATCCTTATCAAAATCAGACAACATCCTCTTCTTGTATAGGGCCACCATCCAACCACAAATGCTCTTCCTTCCACCGTCTAGCCACCCTTCACTAAGTGGTTCACAACCGGCGAAAGCTGAAGCAAAATCATTGACTAGATTCAGCAGCAAGGGATTGAGTTTAACTGGGTTTTAAGATTGAGTGGGTCGTCAGTAAAATTACAGTCAGGCCATAGGTCAACGAAGACAAAGTTGATGAAACAAAATCCACAACCAAAAGCAAATGGTGGTGAAGTGGATTCTCGTTATTTTTGAAAATTATTATAGATAAATTCATAGTATTTTGAAAAATTAATAACACAATATAAAAAAGCTAAATTATTTAGATTAATTAAAATAAAAAATGAAAAATGTTTTCGAAACGGTGCAATCTCTTATCCAAGCTAGTGGCTCCAGTCATTCTTCGAAACTTGTCCATTCATGTATTGGTAATTGGTACTAGAGTGGAATAAGTTCGCACTTCGGCCAATGGAATCTAGCTACATCAAACTAGACAAAAGTAACTTTAAGTACTTAATTTGCAAGCTAAAAGCCCAGCTTTTTTTAATTTTTTGTACTAATTTAATTTCCAAAAACTGTTGCAACACTACTTCTCTCTCCCATCTGTGCATGGAGGAAGAGAAGATGCTGCTGAATTATTGAAGTCCAACACATGCTGAGTTTTTTACATTTTTATTTTATTTTTTGGAAACAACATGAAGAGCTGCCTGCACAACTCCGACTCCAACCTCTCCTTTCAACTCCTTCCACGGCCAAGCTATGGCATTTGAGTACTATAAGAGTAAATCTGAATGATTAGAGAGGGTATTAACATAATTTAATACTAAACCTTGTGTAATCAAGATTCTTTGCATGTGCTTAATTGGCTAATTTCCAAGAAAAATGACAGATCCTCTTTCTCCGAGCCATCAACAACTTGTCAATTTCCAAACTATTAAAGTTCTCCACCAGCAATCGTTCAAACATTCAGAATTTTAAGCATCCAGCAGTTAAAGAAAGTTTCCGGTACTACAGTTTATCATATGCATGTGGTCGGCGCTGTTGGCAGTTCATATCCAAGTTTATAAATTTGTTTAAGCCGCTTTTCCAAGCTCACTTCTCTCTCCACCCAATGAATTATTACTATCCTTTCCAGCTCTGGCTGAGCCGGAGAGATAAGGGTTCCCTCTTCATTGCCAACATTATGGATATATGCGTTTTTTGTGCGATATTTTCTATGAAAATTGTGAAAAAAATAAAATACATCTTAGTTTCCAAGAAAACTCACGAATTAAATTATGAAATCTAATAGAATTATAGATTTGAAGAGGAAAAAAAAAACGTAGTACTGAAAGAAGCGGAGAGCTGAATAGAATATTTATTTACCCAAATAGGAGAGAGAGAGGATAGGTAAGACAATGCGTTAATAACTGGGAATTGCAGCATTAAAATGATAATATATGTGCAAAATATCTGTTAGGTAGTACTGGACATACAATAAGAAGATCGTTATATATCTTTCTTGGGGTGTAAAATTAAGCTTTTTATCCTGACCTAGTTCACAGAGAGAGAGAGAGAGAGAGAGAGAGAGAGAGAGAAGAGAGAGAGAGAGAGAGAGAGAGAGGGAGATTCAGCCCACTGGATTTCTGAGAAGATAAAAACAATAAAGGGTTTCTCCTCGTGACTTGGCTACAACAGCTTCGCTGTCCATTTAATCAAGGTCATGTGCCCCGAGATGTATGCTGAACACTACCATTTTTCATTTGAACCCCTCAATCACTTCTATTTTTTAACTCTTCATTTTTAATATCACGTTAATATTTTTTATTTTATATATTTTAAATAATAATTAGGAGTATGCTGATTGCTTCCCAGAGCTCAACCCAACTAGTGCACTTCTATAATTTACCACTAAGGTCAGTATGATAAAGATAAAAATAATTATTTTTTTACAGTAAATTATACTTTTACTTCCTGTAGTTTTAATATTACATGTAATTTCAAGATTCTAAAAAATGTAACATATAAAAATTTCTAATTTTTACACAAGTAGTGCAATAATTTTTACCCAGGTAATGCTGGAATCGTGGATGTATCTAAATTTAGCAAAAAAATTCTTATATTTGATTACAAGGAGACAAAATTTGGAAAGAACTTAGGGTTAGTAAAACCTGATTTAGACGTATAAGTTTAGATTTTTTATCCTAAAAAACTATTTAGGTTAAAAATGTGGGACCAAATGTATAATATTTAAACTTGCAAGAACAAAAATGAAATCGTGGGTAACAAAAAATGTACTTACATAATTGCATCTGCGCACTACAATTAAGTCCATAGAAGGCTCCAAATTTGTGATAAGGGATTGACAAAGAAAATTTTCACATTTAACCTTACCAAACAAACGTGAAGAGCAAAACCCACTTGGGAGCTCATGCAACGAATTATGCAGTTCCCATGTGATGAAAGAAATTAATTCTTGAAGTTCTTGGGGCAATCTGTTCATACTTGTGGCGAAAATTGGATCTTCAATTTCAGCCACTAATTAAAAGCTAGTCTGGATGAGATCAGTAAATGACGAGGAAGATAACAAATTAATAATTAATTAATTAATTTTCATGTTAAGAGAATCTCACAACTTAAAAAACCATTGAACCGATCCTAGACACGTGTATGTGAAAATATCATGGTAGAGGGTCTACTTATAATATAACTGACCTGCAAAACATCGCAAATTTAAATGGGAATTTGCAGAGGGAGATTATGATTGTGTCACATGACATGACATGTTGTCATGCCAACTTAGACCTTCACATTTTTTGCATTAATTAATTAATTAATATATGGTATAATAAGATCTTGAATTAGTACTGTGCCTATTCATTATCAGCTCGTCACGTTAAGAAGTCAGTAAAATAAGTTTATATATAATTAAATCTAATTATTTCCTAGGATTCCTCTTATCATTCTATTAATAAACTTTGATGAGACTTGTATAGTGATAAATCAAGAAAGACACATCCATATAAACTATATAGTAATTTATCATTCTATTACTTATTTTAATTTTATAAATTCATTAAAATATCGTACTTGTGCCCTTTTCGATCTCTAGGTATTTTTGTTGTCTCTTGACGAAATTTTTATTTTTATTACCATTAAATATTCTACCGTTTTAATAAATTTTTATATGGTAAAATTAAATATAATCTTAATTTAATTATTGTACTAAAGCAAATACATGGCCAAAACAATAAGCTTACAATCCATCGATTTATCAATAT